TCTATAGCAAATACCATGATGCCCTTGTACAAGAATTACATCATGAGATTAATCAATCAATTTATGTGCTATATGTACAAAAATGTAAATGTACTGATAAAATTGATTACATAAAGAACAATAAATCGGGTGAACTTAGAAAGTAGTAGTTATGCGCCAAGGGCAATCAGGACTATTGTGTTGTTCTTTCGCACCTTGAAGGTCAACTGACCTCGCAAAAACATAATTTATAGAAATAGTATCTCATGCTATAACGCATTATATTATGCACAAATATTATACGATCCCTAATGAAATAACTCCTCCAATATTATAAGGCCCCCACCTTCAACACAAAATTTGGCAGGTTTTTGGGGTGGGCTAGTGTATATTCATGGAATCTTCTTTTCAATCAAATGGTAATTTTTCAGGAAATCAAAGTCAATCTTTGATTTAATCTGAGAGTATTTGTAAGACAGATAAGCTACACAAATACACTGGGCTTTTGACCAACTGAAGACTGCAGTGGTGGTACTAGCATCTGAAATCTGGAGGGAAAAATGAGGGGCAAGGTAAAATTTTAGGGGGAAGGAGAAATATGCTGGGGTAGCCCAAAGTGGGTGTGGCTGGGAGTTGCTCAAAATGCCTTGAAAGTGGTCCAGGGGACGAATCCCCAAAAAATATGACAATCCAGGTGTTTCAGAGGCTTACTTAATTGATTTTATAGGTAGATTGTCTACCATACCAAAAATACATTTTTTCTTTCTCCCCCCTCACCATAAATTGTGGTTTTCTTTTTGGGGGGGGGGAGAGGGAGAAATTGGGAGGGAGGGAAGAAAATACCCTTGCGCCCCCTCCCAGCACCACCACGGTATAAAATATGGTTTAAGTAAAAAAATTGTGTTTTTTGGCTATTTTTTACAGGTTGTTCAATTATGAACAGGTAAGTAATTCCACAACTTTGGAAGCAGGTGCAAAATAGAGAATAGTATAATTATCAGAGATCTCAACTCATCCACGAATTCATCAAGATAGATGGAATTGTTAATAATTTCAACAGTAACGACACAATCACGTACGAAATCTAATTCACCACATGCTTTTAATTTGATTGACTCAAGAAGCAAACGCAAAGAAAAGAATTTGAAATTTGAACAAACAAACACAATAGGTTTCATATAACGCAAAAATCGGCTCATTCCCTTCATTGACAGTCAACAAAAGCTTCAACCCAAACAGTAATTATGAATACTGAAATTAGAAGAGCTGGCGATTAATGTATACCTTGCTTGGTGAAGCGAAAAAAAACAAACTAAAATCCTTTTAATTTTTAGACCAGCAACATACTGAAATACAAAACCAGAGAATACAAGAACTACAATACAGTAGGTACAAAACTATAAGGTATAATTTTCAGATATGAATATTATATAGAACAATTATTATTGCCTTAGAAAATAATCAAAAAATTTAATGCATTATAAAATGTCTATATTGTTTATTTTTGTTATAAAATATTTCCATTGTATGTAAATAATCCCACAAAGTTTGCTAAAAGGGGGTATAAAATGTCTATATTGTTTATTTTTGTTATAAAATATTTACATTGTATGTAAATAATCCCACAAAGTTTGCTAAAAGGGGTACTGGTACATTGATATATTTTTTCTACCAGGGTTGTACTGTATCATGTGACAGGCCTATAGTGTTTTGGGAAATAAATGTATGCTTTATACCAGCCTAACAGAATCTGATAGTGGGCTAGACCACGATAATGGCTGAAAAATGTGTGCGACTAGGGTCAGTGGTATTTCACATGTTTTCAGGTTTTTTTCTCGCTCCACACCACTGATTTTTTGCTTTACAGTGTATAGAATACATTTGGTTCTGTAGGCATTAATTATATCAAGATAATTTTTATGGTTGGAAGTGCACAAAATATTTTCCCCCCAGGCCTGAACTGCAAAAAGTGCACCGAATGGGTTCACTGTAATTCTCTAACACTTTGTGACGATGAGCCCATGTTTTTACAATTCTAGTATTCCAGTACTACACTATTTCTGGCAAACAATTTGTGATTAGAAATTTTTGGAGCCCATTTCAATACCAGGCATGTTTTAAAATACCACCAATTGATTTTGACACATGGGAATAGAAGTGAAAACGATTTTAATGATAATATAGACAATAAATCCAACTATTATTTTATGTTTAAGGAACATTCCTTCACCTATTTTTCTGATGACAATATGTGGTGAATAGATTCAGAAGCTATTATATACTGGGTAAAAAACTTTGACATTTAGAAAGCAAATTCCTTCACAGCAGGAATTTACTAAACCTGGATGACAAATGACATATAAACAAGACCAATGAGAACTGAAACAGCTAGTTTTATAAATGTATAAAAGTACAATCAGAAGCTACAGGTGTTTTATTTTACTCACAAAAAACCTTAATTGCTGGGAAGCAGCCAATTCCTATTCTTGACAGCAATTTGACCTCTGAAAGGTCATTGTTTGTCAAAAAACAAGGGCCTAAGACAACTGAAAAGCGGAGTTTCCTTCTTTGGTTCTGCCAGGTAAAATTAATTACTTTAGGCGACGTTTGTAGACTAACCTACTCGTACCAACGTCCGCATGTCACGACGCAGGAGTATTACTATTCAGCATTTTTACTATATTTCTAGGTTTCCTATTTCTACGTTTAATCGGCCCATGTCTCAGCCACAATATTTTGAGGCCAATATTATTTACGAACCCAGTTAAACTTATTTACTAGCCTATTTCAATGTGCTAATTATTACATTTAGGCGACGCTTGTTGTAGACTGGCATACAGTGTTTTCGGATATAAATACCATTTTATACACATGCGCAGATCGATTCGCCAGCAGCGAGCATCGCCAGCAGCAGCGAGTCGCCAGCAGCGAGATGTCACTGCAGCTGGCGATGACTCGCTGCTGGCGAATCGATCTGTCTAGACAGTGGGTCGTGTCTCATATTATTTGTTATATTTTTATTATTCATTATTTTCACTTGACTCGCATAAATAATTTTGTTCGAAGAACATTTATATGCAGTTGTACTTCGCAGCACTTCACTTGCAATTTGCAATTTCTAGTTTAATTCTAGTTAGCCTGGTTCTCACGAGAGCCCTAGTATCCGGATCGGGAGCTAACCGTTAGCGCTAACCGCTAGCACCTGCGTGAGAACGCCTGATCGTTAGCGCTAACTGTTAACAGTATCCGGATACCACTAACGGTTAGCAAGCGCTATCGGTTAGCAAGTTGAGCGCGTTTTTATCATCAAAAAATTACACGTACGCATTTACAATTTCCAGTTTCTTATTGACCAATGATTCGATCGTCATATTTTTGGTATCCAGATCGGGATTTTCTCGTATGGACGCATGGCAGCTAACGGTTAGCAGGATCCGGATCCTGCTAACCGTTAGGAGCCGTGTGAGAACATAGCCGTTATGAATTAAACCTGAATAAGTCTAAATTAGGAAAGTAGGCATTTGAGAGACTGCAATGCTACATGTATGCCACACGAGACTTGACTACAGTGTGGGGTGACAACAGTGGGGCTGCTGTAAGGAGATGCACACGTGCGATCACATCCCTAAGAATAAAAAATAGTTGTATTGTTGATATACAGTATTATTTTTATCATTATGAACAGAGAACCGGTAAGATTTTAAAAAAAAATTATGCAAGTACAATTTCCAGGCCACATTCTCAAAATTTTCGTGTCAACTCTGACGCACCGCCTAACGGCAAATCTTGCATCCGCGCCAGGGCAGGGAACAAATAACCCTTTGAAAAAAATCTAGCACCTCTAGTCCCCAATGCATCACAACTGGGAATTTGCTGAGCAAAACAATTTTGCTAAGTAGTTAATAATCACCTTCTATTGCAAACTATAGAAGGTTCCTTCCTTAGAAGGTTCCTTCCTTCTCACACAATCATTGAGGCCCCAAGAATCCTCCTGTCAATATTCATACAGTATACTGTATGAATATTCTATAGACAAGGGTTAACCAAGAGGTTTCAATGCTGGGTGGGAGTACTGAATATAAATTATCCAAATTCATACATGAATATGAATAATAAATTTTGTTATCTTTGTACTTAAATATCAAGTATAATGGAGACTTTATGCATAATATGCGTTATAAGCATTTATTAACCTATCATATTAGTGATAGATCTAATTATATATGGTAGAACATTATTGTGAAGGTTAGAGGTATACTGTAATGATGCACTTTTAACAATAATAGTCTTTGAATGCTTAAGCTCTATAGAGCCTATAACATTTTCTATGACAAAACACTGTTGTATGCCTATATATAGTAATGATGTGTCTATATATGGTCATGATATGATGTCATCATGACCATATTTAGGCATGTCACATGTTTTTGAAAAAAAAAAATGACAGTCTCAACACAGTCTAATATTTAATTACCAGATATTTATATTTTGCTAAAATAATGCTGGTGATAAATAATGATGATGAACTATCTATTGTTTTAGATTTCAAACAAAATGTTATCTAATCATTTTAAAAAAATCTAGCAAGAGATTGAACTCTGGGGAAATATGTATAGAAAATCAATTGATACCATTTATCTACTAGTATCTATCATTTACAATGCTGAGATGCTAATGTTCTTAGCAACCAGCAAAGACTAGATATGTAATGTTTTTTCATTGATGGAAAGTTAAGGTGATAATGATAGGGAGATTCAAGTGGGATTCCTAAATTTTTGAACATGTTTTTAAAATGGAGAAAAAACATATTATATTCAAATTTACTGTAACTACAGTAGTCTGAATGTTTTGCCATTGACATAAAATTTTGTACCTGAGCCCCTAATATAGTGGGATTGAAGTAGGCTAGACCCTCCATCCGTAAAATTCCCTCCCTGGGCTGGCCGGCCCCCCTCTATTTTGAATTCCTGGATCCGCCACTAAGGAGACCTACACTAGAAAAAAACCGAAAGACATCCTACCGGAGTTTTCTCCTCAAGCAGACAATCATCGCACATACAATCGCCAAGTAGACTATCTGTCTCTGAGCTATCGTCATCTGAAGAATCACGATGGGATCTCATCCTTGCTGTTTTGATTTTTGGCTCATCTTTCATAATGTTCCAAAAATTGCAGGCATACAAATTACGATAGTTTAATATGAGAGGGTTTACACAGTTACATTTAAAGTGTACCCTATATGTTTTCCAAAAATTAGTTCTGTTGTCTGCTCTACAGGATTTTGTTAGAAAGCCAGTAAGGTTATCAGTTGAGCATCCTGTATCATACACTCCCTTTTTATGTACTTACAAAAGCAATCAGTGGGAAAAACAATATAAACCTATATTTCTACCAGCTAAAGTCAAAACAATTAGCATTTGAAGGCTCAATCGCTTGTTGGTAGTACTTGACTGTTGAAACTATTAACTGTGTGGTTTCCTAGTGTTCAGCATCTAAAAACGTTGTCCTTCAAAATAATAAACAGATGTATTCAGTCTGCTGAAAAGTTTTTCAACTTGAGAAACAATGCATACAATTGTCCTTGTTCTACTGTCTTGTACCTAACCAGGGAAACAGCACTGAAGTGAAATTATCAGTAATGAGTAAAAATCGTTAACCAGCTGAACAAATTTAACATATCCAGGAATGAATACCGGTAACTATCAAGAACATCAAATCCAGGCAGAAAATTTGTCAGTGTTTTTTTATAGATGACTCTATCAAAACAGTATACAAAATATTATGTATATTTTTCCCAAGAGAAAATTGCTCTATTAGGCTTCCAATCCTAATTGATCAATTGCAGAGATGGAATCCCTCCTCCTTGTCTCACAACCTTCTACTGTACTTATCTGCAATGTCACTGGCTAACTGCTAAATCAAGAACAACACCAACCAAGGCTAGGCATCCATTCTCTTTTCTCACCAAACTAAACAGTGATCACACTGAGTGTGACGTCAACAGAGCCTGACAAACAGAGCCTTATACACTGCCGAAGTTGTTAGTTAAGCTGGTAGGGTCAAAGGTCATCAGTAGCCTGGAGAAATTATTCTTAGGGAAGCAGTAAACATCGGAATTAAAATGTCATATTGGTTTAGTTCGGAACAAGAACACAATAGAATTACTTCCAGGGGGTAAAAAAAATAAGCAAATTTTTAAAAGTGTGAATAGTTTTGTTGATGTAAGTCAATTATATACCGGCACGGCAGTATGTTTGAAAAGACCTGTTTCTCATTCATCTCCAGAATATAACTTATTTCAAGCAGAAAAAAAAACTTTAGGACAAACATGACACTACTCAGAATTAAAAGTACATCCCAAATTTACATTTCAATTTTTTTTTTCATAGGTAAGAATTACAAAAACAAAGAACAGTTCTTGACATATTAAAATCAATCAATCAATCAACCAACAAACCAATCAAATAGTGCTATCTAAATATAACTTTTTTCAAAGATGCTACACGTGGGGTAAAAGAGAAACTATTAAATAATTTAAGAATTTACTCCTTCAAAATCAGTATCCCTAGAGCTTCCACAACGAGGTATTTTTGAAGAATCTGTTTCAACACATTGTATTAATTTTGTAGCAAAATCTTTTAGTTATTAACACTTTCTTACTGGTACCTCCAATTAAATATTATAAAAATGAAAATATGACTATAAAGAAAATCTTGTGCATAAGAATTACTGTAGTTCCTCACAATTTTGAACACGAAATCAGACTGATTTTTGGGTGGACTTAAGAAATCTCCTGTACAATAAAAAAAATATTTTCAACTCTATAGAAATGGTCAATAAAAAAAAAAAAATGCATTTCAACACTGCATACTAACTAAATCCTTTCCGAGCCACTGGGGCTCATAGGGCTGGAGCTTATCCCCAGTTTCTATAGTGTGAAGCGGATGAGAGTTGTACTCCCCTGGATGGGATACTAGTCCATCACAGGTTAGTCCCCAGCAGTTTGCTGGTACCCATTGATACAGCTGGGTGGACTGAAGCAATGTAGTAGCTAAAGTGCCTTGCCCAAGGACACAAGCCAATCTGCACAGCGGAGACTCGAACCTCCGACCGTACGATTGAAAGCCCAAACGTCAACCATTGTGCCAAACTGCCGCTATTTCAACACTGCATGTCAACTTAAAATTCAAAGCCATTAAAAAAGGTGTAGTCAGCTGCTGCTGAGCTACAGTATAGGACTCGTTTATATGACACCCTGGGGCTTTGGCCTAGAAAATGCTGGTACTGTATATGAAATCAGGACATAAAGTAGAGGGTGGACTTAGAACCTGAGTATGGTCTGGAGAAACACTAAATTAAAACACGGATGAAAAAAAATATCATTGTTATAAGAATCAAAACAAAAGTTGTTGTCGCTGATTTATCAGACATTCGTTGATAACAAAATACTGAAATTAATGATTAATATCAGTCAATTCAACCGTTATACAAATTTACACTGTTATACTTTGGACAAACAAAGCATTTTCATATTTAATTTGCTTATTGAAAGTTAACAACTTAATTTAAAAAGTGACGTGATTCAGCTATATTTATTTATTTATTTACTTTGAGAACATACGCCTCTGGAATGACGTACATAAGAGTGCGTTCAGCTTTAATTACAAAAATATAAAAATAAATTAAAGATGGAGCACACTTCTACACAATCATTGATAAAATATACATATAAACACGGAATAAACTGTACATACAAAATAAGACTACAATACAAATAAAAAAATTATACCATTGAAAATTAAAGGTATGGAGTAATTTTTATACAGGCATACTCCTAAACAAGTATACAATACTGTACTGTATACTGTCTGTATATTTGTAAGGGGTCACTCCCAAATGTCAGCATTTTCGCAAGTGCACAATCATTATGCGGGGGAGGGGGGGTGGTAGACCAATGTATACGCTATAAATACATGTACATGCTATAGTACATGTGCTTGAGTATTAAGTTCTTATGCTTCAAATTCTTTACTATTTAAAAACATTTACTAGGCTTAAATAGATAATGTTGATAAATTTTTACAATATTCTCTCTAAACACGCACCAACATCAGTGATTACAACTGGTCCAGAATGATAAGCGGTCAATATGTGGTCTATCATGACATAATAAGTCAAATTTAAGTGGGTCAGTTTGCTAGTTATATTTTGATCTACTGTCTACGATCTACTGTATGTGCCTTACTGCTTGTTGCAGGGGAAAAAAATCTATTATGATAGAATTTATTGAACATTCTAAAAAGAGGAAAAGATTTATGACATACATAACCAGTGTATTTGCTACAAGAAAGACAAAGCCTTGACAACATTATTATCCTTCAATAGTTTCATACAGGCCTATGCGCTAAAGAAGCTTGACAAAAGGGTTAGCATACAGCAATATTGATCATAATAATTATACATGTTAATTATAAAATAACATAGTTGGTAATAATTTGTTTTTCAACAGTTTAAGCCTGTTTATAGCAACAGTATTACAGGGATGACTATTTTAACTGAAAGATCATACAGTAAGAACATGTGACAAAGCTTTCTATTATCAGTTAGTACTAGCAGTTATTTGTAAGGGGTCACTCCCTAATGTCAGCATTTTCGCAAGTGCACAATCATTATGCGGGGGAGGGGGGGTGGTAGACCAATGTATACGCTATAAATACATGTACATGCTATAGTACATGTGCTTGAGTATTAAGTTCTTATGCTTCAAATTCTTACTATTTAAAAACATTTACTAGGCTTAAATAGATAATGTTGATAAATTTTTACAATATTCTCTCTAAACAGCACCAACATCAGTGATTATAACTGGTCCAGAATGATAAGCAGTCAATATGTGGTCTATCATGACATAATAAGTCAAATTTAAGTGGGTCAGTTTGCTAGTTATATTTTGATCTACTGTCTACGATCTACTGTATGTGCCTTACTGCTTGTTGCAGGGGAAAAAAATCTATTATGATAGAATTTATTGAACATTCTAAAAAGAGGAAAAGATTTATGACATACATAACCAGTGTATTTGCTACAAGAAAGACAAAGCCTAGATAACTTTATTATCCTTCAATAGTTTCATACAGGCCTATGCGCTAAAGAAGCTTGACAAAAGGGTTAGCATACAGCAATATTGATCATAATAATTATACATGTTAATTATAAAATAACATAGTTGGTAATAATTTGTTTTTCAACAGTTTAAGCCTGTTTATAGCAACAGTATTACAGGGATGACTATTTTAACTGAAAGATCATACAGTAAGAACATGTGACAAAGCTTTCTATTATCAGTTAGTACTAGCAGTTTAAGATAATCTCAATGGCAATCCGGCCCAGTTTAACCAAATTGACCTACTACAGTATATGAGACTATCTCAGCAGAATGATTTGACATTGTAATTATTGACACAGAAAAGAATATTATTATATACAAATATCCACAGCAAAACTTAATGGATATCCTACTTTACAGGGAGTTTTAAGAACATTAATATCATCAATGCAATTCTTTCTCAGCACAGCAAAACCATTGTTTTTGGATATACTGTAATACCAAGTTGGTCCAAGTTTTGAAAGGCTAGGGAGGGATTTGGAAATGGGCTTATTTATAACCAGGAAATCCACTTTCCCCCAGAAAAGTGTTTAATCTTCAGAGAGTACAGGCATGTCCTAACTTTATAGGGATATCAATTAAAAAAGAAGCAATTTTTCTACTCTGTACATGCAGATCCAGAAATTCAAAATAAGAAGCCCAAGAAGATTGCCAGGATAGTGATGTTACAAATATTAAGAAGTTATTAAATGAAAGGTTCATCAATATTGAGAATGAATTAAGTAAATTATGATAAAATATAGGTTTTACTTACATACTAATTATTACCTCATAAATGATCATGGGTCTTCACTGATATTAATTGGAATTCTTATAATTAATGTTTTTATTCATATTAATTGGAATTCTTATAATTAATGTTTTTATTCATGAAAGTATTTTACAGATACAAAGAAAGTTTTATTTAAACTTGAGTGAGCCCTCACATGGTCAGGTTAATAAAATTGTATTGAATTATAACATAGAGGGCTCACTGCAATTCAGAACTGTTATCATATTATTACATCTAGAATAGGATTATATAACATAATTATTATCAGAGATTTGTACGTCACTTGAACTGTATGTGACCTTATTAAGGTTTCAGTTTAATTTCCATTACAAACACATCAAAGCAAACTATTTGCTACAGTACCAAATGACCAGGCCTAGGCTAGGCGGCTAGCCCTGAAAATTTTTGAGGGGATGAAGTATATTTTTTTATTTGGCCTTATGGTAAGTGTAGTACAATATATCACAAAGAAATAGCCAAATGAGTATAAGCAATTGATTTCTATACCTTGTACATTTATTCACTGCAGTTTCAGAACATTTTTAATATGAAAAAAAAAAAATCAGATACAAAATAAAAATTGAATAATATATTACTTAATTCATTTTTAAAATAACTTAGGTATATAATATATTAAATTTTTATTTTGTATCTGTGATTTAAGTTTTCCGTGTAAAATTTGTATTAGTTTTTCTAATTTTTCTTTCATATTTCATTTTACTTAATTTGTTGTACTTACTAGGCTAATTACAAGATATTTTGTATAGATATTTCAACTAGCAACCATTTTTTTTTATTTGCTAGTTTGTGAATTTTTACCTAGCAATTACGACAAACCTACTAGCAAATTGCTAGTTTGCTAAGTGTGAATTTCAAGTCCTGCTGTAATACACTCTACCTATATAATACAGTACAATAATTTTTTACTGTATAATAATTTTATATGTTTGAAAAGTGTGTAAAATTAAGTGACAAAATAAGAACAATTTTTAGCCTGAATTTAGCAAAAACATATAAGAACA